CCTGAAAACAAGAGGCCCTTTGTCCCAGCATGTTGTGTTTTGCTGATTCTATTACGCATTGGCTGGGAGATAAGAATAAACAGGACAACACCCTGTCTAACCCAGGAGAAGGAGGAGGGAGGAGGGAAGAGGGAGGAGGAAAAGTTGGTTATGTTCATTCTTGGGCATGTACGTGCACACCATTTATTTGCAAATTGAGATGCTTAAGAAAACTGTGCGTGCAATAGTCAGGAACTACTAGACGCCTTTTATTGCACAATCAAATCTTTTAAGAATAAGCCATGTGTAATAGGAAGCTTTATAGTTTTTCTCTACTGTGAAGTACATTGAAGATATTTAAGTAATTGGCAATTATTTCTCGAAGCTCTTTATTTACCAATCCTATTTTTGTTCAGTCTTTTAAAAGCTTAAAATCAGGATGAGCAAACATGTAAACGCAGCCTCCCTCCCTGTATCAAAAAACCTTGCGAGGAATCCATCAGCAGCCTCTGGGGAAGGAACGTGTTGATCTGAGACTCGTCCCTTCTCCACAAAGGGAGAGCTGTCAGTCCGGACACAGGTGCTCCATGTCCTCGCAATGGAGAATTCTGCTTAAGGACAGCAGCTGCTAAGCTCAGTCAGCTTCTAACTGGCCTGTCCCGAGCAGAATGGCACTGCTGGCCCCAGGAAACTGGGAGAACACATGACCTCTCTCCCTAACACCTGGCTGCCTGGAACCACCTCCACCATTTCTTACTGGCTCTCCCTCACCCTTCCTCATACTGGTGTGTGGGTGGCTCAGGTGACCAATCCCTGAGGGACCATGGCAGCTCCTGGCTTCAAAAATGAGTTTAAGAAGTGGGCGAAGGAAAGCCATTCTAAAAGCTCATTGCCCTTCCTCCAGCCCCTCCCATGGTGTCCACCTTGGGGCCTTTGGACTTGAACTGCCTCACCCTGGTTGCTTTCCCACCAGACGGTCGCAAGGCTGGCTCCTTCCCATTCTCCAGTCTCATTGCAAACATCACTCTTTAAAGAAGCCTTTGCCTCGCCACCCAAGCAAAGCTACCTATCCTCAGTCACTCTATCGCTGACTTGGTTTTATTTGCCCTTAGCACACATCTTGGTTGTTTGTTTTTATGTATACAATTTTCTCCTCTGACTAGAATGGAAGTTCCATGTGGACAGAGACCGCATCAATCTTATTCCCACTGTAGACTCAGCATCTTTAATCCTACCTGGCTCACATTATGTGCTCAACAGAAATTTCTTATAAGAATGAATAAATAAACAATGAACAGATGAACAGGACAATCTGGTACAGAACCGGTGGGCAAGGTCAAAGCAGACTTTGTGACTTGTCCTGAACCACACTGCTGCTGTGTTGTTTGTTTGCTTGTGGGACCAGGGCTGAGCCCCATGTGAATGGCTGGGCATGAAGCAGGGCCACGGAGGACGTGGCTTTTTATTCAGAGCTCCGTATATAAAACCACTCCAAAAATGATTTGTAGGAGATGCCTGAAACTGAAATAGAAAAAGGGGGGAAAAAGAATATTTGGATATCAGCAAGGTAGTTCTGCCAACCTAATTATGCCCCGTGACACGTAATTGTGAACTGCTGAAAGACAAATGATGAAGCAAAGCATGTATTATAAACGCACTCACAAGGAAGACGGAGGTGCTAATTTTTAAGCAACCGTCATAAATGTGGTTTCAGGATATTATTCCATTAACATTATTATTATTATTATAACAAAGAGTGTAAGCATGATGATGAACTCCTTTCATGCATTTCTCAATACCTAGGAAATCAGGTTTTCTAGTGAATCCCTAGCTGAGACGTCTGAGAAAATACCAGGTGGCAGTGGAAACGGCGGAACACTCACGATACCCACACGAAGACAACTAGCTGTTCTTCAGTAGAGAGTCATTCAAAGCGCATTCAGATCTTCGGATAGACATCAAATCACACAATCCACGAAATGTACACTCCATAGCTCCTTATATGGCAGATTCAGTGGAAGGCAAAAATAAAGTGAAACACAAAGTCCACACTTACTAAATGAGAGAAGTATGGGAATGGAACTTCCACTAGTGTTTTAAAAACACATTGGTGATCTTTCTCCGAATCAGAATGGAATGAAAGCGTCTATTCCGTGGAACGGTGATTCAGAGGAGGATTGGAGGGGGTGTTAATAGGTCATAGGTCTAATGATTTTGGGCACCTATTCTATTACTAGGTGTCAAAAATCATTAAGTGCAGAATTGACAAATGTTCTAGTTACTATTGTGTTTGAAAAGCATTCCGAATTCTAAGAAGATGTTTGTGTATTATTTACCTTCTTTTAAATTGACTTGTCATTTCTTACATTCAAGTTGAACAAACGTGTTTTCCCTCACTTCACTGAATATCAGAATCAGGCTCAAAAGCAGACTCAGAGAACGAGTTTTAAGATTATTTATACAACCCATGACATGTAATATTTAAAATACAGTGCAATCATTATCGATATTATCCAATTTTTTTTTAAAAAAACAACTACTTAACATGGCTATTAACAATTTACCCATTTTAGTTCATATGGGATTTTAATGTCATTTACCGAAGAAAAAAAAAGAATTCTAAGATGGTATAAAATGGGTTTCAATACGATTGACCCCTAACCACTACAGTAGTCAGGAGGCATGGAATTTATAATCTTGCATATATGTTTATAAAGTGTGGCCTCGGGAAAGAACCATTTAATTTACCAGGCACTCCTGTGAGCTCTGGTGCATAAGAACGAACAGGACAATGACAAGTTTCAGTGTGGAGGTCTTTTCCGATGGTTCTGACTGTCCTTGATGTTTCTCTGTTCCTATTTCGGGCACGGAATTGGCCTAGAAGACTGTCATTTTAGTCCCAGCTTTGCTTTCCAGAGCCCCGGGCAAAGCCACGACCATAAATCAGGCAGCAGGACCCTGGGAGCCAACTGAGTCATAGACGCCACTTGGTCACATGTGCTCAAGGTGTTGGGATCCCAAGAGAGTCACGCCAAACAAGTGGAATCAATTTAGGTCAGAGTTAGGAAAAACAGAGTGCCCGCCCCGCCCCCCCCCTCGGCCCCCCCGCCGCCCCCCGCCACTGGCAGTGGAGGATACCGCAACCCTCCACAGCCCAAGCCTGGGGAACAGTAACTAAGCCCAGGAAAACATCTAGGCCAGGCAGACTCTTTCCACCGTCCAAAAAGAAGGGAAAAAATGGAAAAAAATGATATCTGACAACCCACAAATGTTTAAGTGTGCGGTTCTCCTGTTCAGCATGAAAGCACTCTTGTTGCTGCTAAGTTATTATTACCCTCACATTTTTTACATTTGTGCCCAGTACCATTTAGCCTGAGGGTATTTAGGCTTATTGCTTTAAAAATACAGAGTTAAGCATGTTTAAATCACTTTAAATATCGCAGGCAGCAGCAAACACATAGCCTACCTGCTTGGACACGCAAACTTGAAAAGAAAAGCTTTACACCATGGCCCGCAGGTCAGCCAGTCCTGGCCGAGGCAGGCGGACGTCAGGAAGGAGCTACAGAAAACAAGGCCCTCTGTGTGAGCCTCTGCCCGGCTCCCCTCGGGTCAGCGCTGAACTGTGAGCAAACATGCCCTGAAAGCTGCGCTCTCATAAAGTGCTGAAAACTCCCAGCAGATATGGCCCCTCAAAACTGTGTACAAATGAGACGCATTTAATGAACGACCCTTTCTTTGCCAATAATTCTGCTTAAATTAAGTCCAGCAGACTCTTCAAAGGGACCAAAGAAGCCCGCTTGTTAAGAAGGATTCTATATATAGACATCCAAGACAATTCTATGATGCATGTAACCAAATATATATAATTATCCTAGCTTCTACATTCCCATTATCTTCATAAATATAGGATAAAAATCAGCCTAAAGGACTTTCTCAGACCTCCGCAAGGATTAAGACTAGCCAGCCAGCTTTTTAAAAGGCTACGTATGTAGTAAAGATCAAAAGCAAATGTTCTGGACAGTTCTTTTCTACTCATGGGTTTTTACTAAGAATGTGTGCAGTTTTCAGGGAAAACACCACAAATGACAGCTGTTCAAAAGCATGGAAATTAATTGGCAGCAGGAATTTCCTTGACTAATAGGGAAAAACTTAAAGTCACATGTTTTGATGAGCTTATTTTTCCCATCTTTAGTCAAGCATATCCACTGTTAATGATTAAGATTTTCAAACAGAAATATAACCAAGTAAAATCCTGAGTAGATAACCAAGTAAAACGCTGAATGAAATCCAGCTACCTATTACTGAATGAACAATGGCATTAATGAATGAATTTTAGGTGTAAATAATAAAATATAGGGAAAGGTTCAACTTGCAGGTCTTGATTTTCTATAGGAACTAAACTATGACATCAATAAGAACAATGTAGTTATTGTATTGAGCAACAGTAGTAAGACAAGCACCTCCCGCCCCCACCCCATCCCCAGGAAGCCGCCTGCTTTGAGCTGTTTTTCTAGCAGTGGTGATGGATTTACACTGATCCATCCACAGTCTCTCTGACACAGGGGCTCTTAAGGCATTGCCCTTGTGATGACGTGAGAATGGATGAGACAGCTGGTCAGGATTAGGCGAGCAGCCTATGGCCCTGGAACCAGGTTGTGTCACCCTGCCCAGAACCTTGGGATCATTAGCTTTATGCTCTCACCACCTAAGCTAACCAGCCACTGATCAGCCACGACCCAACATACAACACTCTGGGGGCACCATGTCTTTTAAATCCCAGTGACAATGTCATTCTATTTTTAAGGCAGCGGAATGCAGCCCAAGACACCCAAAGGCTCATGCACGACAGAGTTCTATGCACAGACTGTCCCTCAAGGCAGCAATGAGATGTCCAAGCACAAGCAATCATGGCCCTTCCATCCTAATCAAATGACAGCTCTGACTGAGCTCAGAAAAAGCAAGAAATAGTCACAGAATTCCCCCAGCATGTTCTCTCCAAGGGCCACAATGGAACAATGTACCTGGCCATCCCCAGGCTTGGAAAGTTGGCAGGAACGATGAGCACATCCAGCCTGGAGAACGGGTGTGTCCCCAGCACAGCGTGCGCTGCTGAGAGGCAAGGAGAGAGCAGCTGCAGAAGGGTCTCCTGGCAGGCCCCTGCGAGGCGCTCGGGGGCGAACACCCGATGAGGAATGATCTCCTGGGTTGTGGCGGACGGATCCTGGAAGCGGCAGGGGTATTCCATGTGGCCACAGACGCCAGCACACCTGGGGACAACACAAAATAAACAGATGTCCTGTATGGTAAATAGGTTTATGCTTCTTGCTGGGGAGGTGAGGAGCTTTCACAGGCATGGGCCACTTCTAGGAGAGAGCGGTTCAAACAGGTTCCCAAGCAAAAACCGTACTTGAGTTCTCCGCTTGCCTGATCTATGCAGCAGTGATAAAATACAGGTGGATATCCTTCTGATTGTGCTGAACTGTTTGAGTAATTTCAATCTAAGCTAAGTGAAAGCAGTAAAATCTTGTTTTAGAATAAATGGGGGAAAAGCCCCAAGACTCTAAGCAGTAAAACAACTCATCAGACAAAAAATGTCTGCCCTTAGAATTGTGCTTTCAAATATCACTATGGAAAAAATCCTCTCCAAATCAGGGACGATTCATAACTCAGAAAGGAAGGGACGGTGCAGCCAAAGTGAAGATGGCATTCTGGAATTTGCTAGAATAAAAGACGTGGATTTGGGTAGAGAACAATGAAGCAAATGACAGTACAGCTTCCAACTTCAAAAGAGCACAATCCACTCTACTAAAAAGTAGTCTAGGTGGTTCTTTACAAAGGCCATCAAAAGGTGTGCTGTTAAGGAATACAGAGGCGCTTTTCCCCCCAATATATTTATTATTGACTAGAGGCTTGATACATGAAATATATGCAAGGGGCTCGGCCCTCGCAGCCCTGGCCGTCCAGTCTAATTAGCATATTATGCTTTTATTATTATAGATTGATTTTAGAGAGAGAAAAAAGAGGAAGGGAGGGAGAGAGGGAAGGGGGAAGAGAGGGACACTGATTTGTTGCCCTACTTATTTAAGTATTCACTGGTTGATTCCTGTATGTGCTCTGACAGGGGATCGAATCCTAAATCTTGGGCAATGCTCTAACCTATGAAATACTGACTCAGGGTCTACAGAGCACTTTTGTACAAGATTTTCACCAATCCATTTTCAATACAAACGTAACTAAATCAGCCTTTTAAAGAAACAGATTAGAGCCCAGCCTGCACCATCTGGCCACTGTCCTTTATTCTACCAAAGGTGGAGCTGAAAAAGAATTCCTAGAGCCTGACTCATAGGCCTCAAGAGAACCTATCTACCCAAAGAACCCCACGTCAAAGGGAACTATTTTTTCACCTGTTAACAGGTCATTTATTCGAACATAATGGAATAGTTCTCTACTTTTAATGTATAAACTATATTCCTAACTATGAGGCTTATTAGATTCACAGTGAATACTGAAAAAAAAACCTTAAAATACCGGTACATTCCAATATGGGAGGACTGTAGCAATACTGCCTCTCCAAATTTCTGAAGTGCCTTTCACCCGCCCAAGGTCAGCACTGACTGCCCCAGGAGGTCTGCACAGCAATGGAGAGAAGCCTCGCCCTCCACCATGTGGTTCATAGAACACAGCTCCCAGCACCCATGACGTTTGGCCACAGCTGAGGGAACAGTAATGGGGGAAGACTCATAAATACTTCTCCCAGGTTAAGGTGACAGGAAGAATATAATTGTTAAGCTTGCCAAAGTCCCCGGATTGATAACCTTGCTTTATGGAGAAAGTGAGAATAGGTGCCTGTTGGTAAACATTTAACCGAAGGCTCAGTGTCCACCTAGGGCAGTGATGGCGAACCTATGACACACGTGTCAGAGGTGACACGCGAACTCATTTTTTTGGTTGATTTTTCTTTGTTCAATGGCATTTAAATATATAAAATAAATATAAAAAATGTAAATCTTTGCTTTACTATGGTTGCAAATATCAAAAACTTTCTATATGTGACACGGCACCAGAGTTAAGTTAGGGTTTTTCAAAATGCTGACACGCCGAGCTCAAAAGGTTCGCCATCACTGACCTAGGGACTAGTACTGTGCTGGAGCATCAACTTAATGACAGCTCTCACAAAGCGAAAAATCATTTGTTAAGCTGACCACCACAATACCTTCGCCTAATGTGTTTATATGGGTATGCAATGTGCATGGTAATTGAAGCTCACACTCTCCATTGAAAAGCTTGCAGAGCACATTAAATAATGGAGAAGTTAGAGGTCAAGAGGCATCTTCAGGACAAAGTTGGAGCATGCGTTTAAATTCAATCTATCAAAGCGCAATTTTGCAAGGAGACATTCCATTGGCCTAGCTAGAAACACACCATGGGGCTAGACTATTTTTTTGCAGCCAAGAACTCGAACTCCAAAAGTTAGAGAACAGTTTGAGGGAGCCAAAGTAATACCATGAAAGCCAATTTGTTCAAGAGAAAAGGTGAGTTAAAGTCTCTCTGGATAGAAATGTACTACTACACAAGTAATAAGGTTATTTCAGTTGGATGCATTAGCACTGTTTTTCATAATCAAGCCTCAGAGAAATGCAGGACTCTAAGAAGACAATCAAGCTATGGGCAAGTGAGACCAGTAAGGCTCCCAATACAAATGGAAATGGCACCAGGGAGGCCACACATGGGTTCTGACGTGGGGATCGGGACACCTGGACTTTCGTGGCTGTTCAACCGGTTCCCTGTGACCCGAGGCAAGCGACTCGGTCTCGGGCCACTTTTCCTCCCCTTGGACATGGTCCTCACAGAACAGGCTGCTGAGAAGGGGAGGGCTGATTGGTAAGGGTGTGAGGGAGCTTCCTGGGGTGAAGGAATGTTCTCTACCTGGGCTAGCATGTATTCAACTGTCAAAAACTGATCAAGCCGAACAACTTAAGGTCTGTTCATTCTGCTGTTTGCTAATGATAGTTTAATTAAAGGCAAACACACAAAACACCTGAACACACGTGAGCCGTCTGCATGCGAGAGCCATGTTTCTGACGCGGTAGGGAAACGCTGTGCTTTGTAAAGTCGTGAGTCGTCTTCCACAGAGCCCGCATTAACTCACAGACGCTCTATCTTTCCTTCAGGTGCCCTCCAGTTACACATCGCTATGTACATGCCTAACTCCTACCACCACTGCTACTTACGTTTATTGAACATTTACTGGGTGCCAAGCACTGCTCTGAACACTTTACACACATTTTCCCAGATAATCCACAACATGCCTAAGGCATAAGAACTATTCATCACAGCGTGAGTCTTCATAAGCTCCTCCTTCCTGACTCTCCTTCTCCATTAAACCCTATTTTGCTTCTTAAGTAAATTTGGGTCCTGGAGTTTTTCCAAAGCTGAGCTCAGCGGCCCTGTGATTCTCCAGTGTCTGTTTCTCCTTGTCAGTGTCGCCTATTAATTCTGCCCAGAGTGGGAAGAAGGGTGGCACCACGTTAGGCTGGTAAATGATGGGCACCAGGCATTGGTTCCCTCTTACACGATGCTGGACTGAGACGATTTTACAAGCGCTCTCTCCAAGGAGTAGGGTGGCCATGTCTGCCTCAGAGCCACAGGACTGCAAACTGCCTCAAGAGGTCCTCCTCCTGTTTCAGACAGCGCTGTGCTGAGACCTGGGCACAAACGGTCCTCTGTCCTGGGTTCAAAAGAAATTACTGGAAAGCCTCCCCGGGGAACGCACAGCCTTTTCCCACAAGCCTTCCTGGGTTCGCCGTGAGGACTCAGTCAGTATCTCCTGCATTCCTGCTCTTCTCAAGGCACTCCGCACGGAGCTGCCCTGCGCGTACCTACGCAGAAGACGCCGGCCCGACCTTTGAGGAGTTTACAGTTTTGTTAGGAGGAAAAATGTTAGATCCTGATTAGTTTAGTGACACAGTCCAACGTTTACGCAATTTATGAACATGTTTCAGCTAGCAGAGAAAATGCCTCCTAAAAATCACAGGTGCTCAAACCACCATCACCTGCCCCCCAGCGGGTGGCTGACAGTGATGGCAACACACATGATGATGTCATAGCATCTGAAAGCTGGAGTGTTTTCTGCAAACATTCAGTACATTAAAAAGCAAAATGTGATATGTGCAATGCGGGGCAGAAAGCAGAAACACTCTAGGGGAGCAAGGGTTGGACAAATAACCAGCCGAGAAGGCCTGGAAAGGTCCCCCCACAGCGAAGGTGTTCCGGAAACTGGAGTTCCCCTGTGATGTATCTCTGCATCCCTTCTATTCAAAGAGATAGAAACAGGCCTCGTCCGCCAAGGTCCCACTCTTCATGGACTTTACACCCTCTGCCAAGTGTCCCCTTCTGTAGAGTTAGCGCCTCAGTGCCTCTCCCAGGCTTTTCCAAGCTCTGTGTGCCTGTTTTCCACGCTTTTAACCATTTTTGCTGATCTCCTCTGGCCTTTATCCAAGGGTCCTGCTTAACCTGTATAGCCCCAACGTGAAGACAATGCTTTAACCAAGGCCTCAAGAGGTTAAACATAATACAAAGATTTCCTGGTGGCTGGAGAAGGTTATACTGCAGCCAAACAAAATTAATAAACTTTCCACAGTTTGGCTGAGTGCCTTATAATTAATAAATTTACCTAAATGCTCACCCAGAATGAGCTGGAGCACATGTGGAACTGGAGCTGGAAGAGGACTGCTCTTCCTATAATTTGGCCCACATGGACAGGGGTCAGAGGTTCAGTGACCAGCCCTGGCCGGTGTTGCTCAATGGGTAGAGCATTGGCCCATGCACAGAAAGGTTGTGGTTCGATTCCTGGCCAAAGGAAGGGCAGATTTGATCCCTGGCCCTAGTTGGGCAAATGTGGGGGGCAACCAGTCCATCTCTCTCTCTCTCTCTCTCTCTCTCTCTCTCTCTTTCTGTCTCTCTTCCCTTCCCTCCCTCCATCCCTCTTTTCCTCCCTTCCACTCTCTCTAAAAATCAATGGAAAAAAATGTCCTTGGATGAGGATTAACAACAACAACAACAAAAGTTCAGTGACCAATACTTTGGCCAAATTTCTGGGACCCAGATGAACACATTAGGCAAATAAAAGCCTACAGTATCTAAGGCCCCTGTGAAAGTTACGTTTCCGTGAATTGAACTAGTGGTCTTAGGAAGGCTTGAGGTAAGGGGGGTTGGGAAAGACAAGGGGACCAGATGTGAACATAACCAAAAACAGTGCAGTTGGCACTTCAGAGCACCTTTGTTGGCAAACTTAGCGTAGAGCCAGAGATTTAATGGATCAAAACACAAAGCCACCCTCTGATGACTAAAGACAGCACACATGAAGCACGCAGCCAGGGAAGGATTAAGCAAATGTAAGCTATTATTTTATCAGCAGCACATTTCTGATGGACAAGCACAGTGATAAATGAAGGGAAAACTTAGTCGTAGCATGTCAGACATGGAAGGGAGTGTGGGAGGGACTTCATCCACCAGCCCCCCCGCTTCCACACTAGCACAAGCTTCCCTGCAGTGGCACCCATGCCCTGAGGCTCCAGCCGATCTGATTGGCTGGTCACTCTGGACTTCCTCTTTAGAGTCTGCTTGCCCACAGAGGGGGGACTTTTGCCTCTCAGGAAGGCTGTGTGCATCTGTGTTGTGGAGGCTTGCAGTGGTCAGCTGCGTGGAGGCCTGTCTCATTTGGAGATGGAGTATTAGAAACCCCATTAACACTGTACACCTGAGCCTGCCCTCAGTCCAGCTTCTGTCAATAATAAAACCTTTCTTTTGTTCTCCTGTCTCTCAATTGGTTCTGAACTCAGGAGGATAAGAGAGGGGCTGTGTTTGCCCCATCCCCTAAATCCTAACAGGGATACTGAAGTCCTATCTTCCCAGAATCCACACTTCACCTGCCATGTCCTCCTCCGTCACAATTACGGATGCAAGAGGCGTGAACAGCCATCTCAGCTGCTTCTGGGCAGCAGAGAGCATGCACAAGGGACGCTTGCTGCCTGCTCCCCACTCGGATCTCTGCGGATATGGCTGGGGGACAGAATAACAGACGTCTTTCTCTGCCTTCCCCTAGCCTTCCTAAGGCACACATTTTTCAAGAACAGCGAATCAGGCCGCGCGGTACATGCAGAGCAGGGTGCTCCTTCCCAGGAAGAAACTGAGACACTCCCTCCTCGCCACACCCCCAGCGAACTCTGCATTCTACAGAGAAGGATGATTTTGCCCACAGAAACTTACTTAGCCAACAGGCACGGCACCTCCAGGCTCAAAGGTAGCGCCTCAACTCCTGTTTTCTGTTACAACGTGAATCATTCCAATTGGCAACAGTGACTCAGTCCTGGCACTGACTCTCCAGGTGAGAGTGGACCAGACTCCGGGTGGGGCAGGGGTGTTATGTACAATTTTTAAAAGTCCCCAGGTAAGCCTCTGAATCACCTCTCCAGGGGGTTCGGCCCAGATGCGAATCCAGGTCTTGTAACTCAGGAGGCAGGAACAAGTCCCAGCATCATTATTTTATCTATAAAATGGAGATAATAAAACCTGTCTGTCATACAGGCTTATCCCCAGAACTAACCGAGATGACATTTAAATCAAGACTTTCCTGGATTTCAAACAGCCAATGGCTTCTGCATCAATTCAGGATAGGCTAGGATATGCTGCAGTAACACACAACCCCAGTATCTTAGTCGCTTAACACAAACAAGTTATTTCTCACTCGTACCAAGTCTACTGTGGATCCAAGTGACTACCCACGGCACCTGTCCTCCCTACTCAGAAATCTGGCTACCCAGAACTGCAAAATGAGGCCTACTGTGGGATTTCAGGGACAGGGGGAGAGGGCACTAGGTCTCACAAACCATTAAATATTCCCACGTGAAAATAACATATGTCACTTCTGTCTACACCTCTTCTTCCCTCAGGAGTGCGTAAGTAAAATTCAAAAAGCAATCTAGGATACTCTATATAGCTCAGGGAAGATAGCCCAGAATATGGAAGTTACTAAGTAAGAAGTGGAAATTACCTCCCTTCCTCCAAAAAGCAAAATGTAGGCAATAAGACATGCCCCTCGGAAGAGAGGGCTCAAAGGCTTTGTCTTCTAAGGACACCAGCCACCACCGTCACTGCAAAAGCAACCTGGCAAAACAAAACCGACACAAAAGGAATTTGTCCTACGAGCATATCTTATCTGCCTTTCAAGGATGAGCTAACCACCTGTCCCATGACTCTGGCCGTTCTCCACCAGAAGGTACTGACTTAGTGACGACCTGTAAATGGGAAAATGATTAAACTGAGCTGGATGTAAAAGTTCTAGAATGAAGCACGATACCACACGACATGACTAGCACACTCCTGTGCCCAGTACGTGCATTCCCCTTCTCCTCTTTGGCTCTCGAAGCCAGAAACAGCTGAACTTCTGGGAAAGCTGCAAGTGAATACCTAATGGCCTATACTGACTTTTAAAAAGTTTAAACTGATTTTATCTGATCGACTCTGAAATAGAAGCAATTGCTACCAAAGTTAACAGAGCCCTGACCCAGCAGGATTCTCATAACCCAAGGGCCTTGTGACCATGTCCTTGTGTCCGATGCTCCTGAGAAGGCTGCCCCACAAATGCACTGCTAACAGCAGTCACTGGAACCAAAGCAGCAGAGTGGACTACAAAGGAAGCCATCAAACAAGCAACTTCTTTTGATTAAGTTGTGTTTTTGACTAAATAAGCACTGAAATCCAAAGTTAAAAGGTGTAGAAAGAAAGTACTGGATCTGAAGTTTCTGTTGACTTAACCAAATATACAAAAATATTTCACCTGACTTCACAGAGGATTTCATAGACATTTATTTTATTTTATTGTTCTTTCCGTATAAACAATATGCCCACATTTCTACCTCTCAACTCTCTTTCCCTCCCAGCAGGGCTTTTCCTGCTTTGAGTAATCACAGTTTGGTTTAGTTTCTCAGCAGGGATGACTCACATTCCCAGTGCTTGGAATAAGTGCATCATTCTGCTCCCTCAAGTGTGTGTTTTCCAGCAACATCCCAAATACAAACCTAAAGTCAGCCTCGGACGGCGAGAGGGACCTCTCTGCTGCCAGGTCACTTGGCGAGCAGGTCTCTGGCTTCACTTCTGTCCAGGGTCCCACCGCAATTGTGAAGGTGGAGGCTGGCATTGGCATGGTTACATAGTAATGCCAGCTTGAGCACCCTATAAACAGAAAGAGAAAAATCACAATGAGACCCATGTATGGTTCTAGACCTCACTTGTATCTTTTCTCTTCAGGCCGTTGAAGAACTTGTGTCCTAAGATGGTATGAGCCAGTTCTTGGAGGTGGGCCTGTCAACTGAAGGGGCACTATTCCAGGTCTCAGGAAGAGAGATGATAGTTTCAGGGCAACCAGGGAGGTTTGGATCTATTCCAAGCATCAGTTTGAAGCCATTCAAGGGAGGCTATATGAGGAATGGGGGACCAGCCCAATATATTAACAGATAAAAAGAATGAGGAATATAAGACCTGAAGTTCCACAGTTAATTGGTGGTTGAGGTGGTCACTAACAGCTGCAAACACAAAAAAGTATAGGCTGTATGCTTCTAGAGAGGCTAGAACAATATCTTATTCATCCTATTGCCTCGCACAGTACTTGGCATTAAAAAAAAATGCTCAGTTGAATGAATGGATGGATGATTAATGAACAAATGAATTATCACTTCAATTCTGCTAAACTATTTTGTCTGAATTTAATTCAAGCCCATCTAAAATGGATAGATATAATAGAATACAATGAGACTGAAGAAAGGAGATACCTAGGTTTTAGTCCCAACTCTGAAACTAATTAACTGTGGAAGTTCAGGTCTCATACTAGTATTCCTCATCCTTTTTATCTGTCAATATATTGGGCTGGTCCCCCATTCCTCGTTGAGCAGATGAAAAGCAGGCCTGGGAAGGTTCCATGGAGCCAAGGAGTGCCAGCTAGTTGGAACAAGGCTGGACTTACAGTTGGGGATCCCCACCCAGCCAGGGGTGTGCCCCTAGTGAGTACACACCTTAGAGAAGGCTTTTACCAAGGAATAAATGATCGATAACTTGTAACACTATACTCCCTTACTTCTGAGATAGAAAAATGATTTTAATGTTTCTGAAATCTGAATGTGTCATACAACCTGATTTGACATAGTATTTTTCTCTGAGCATCTGCTATAAATTGATGGTACGTGTTAAGAGGAATTACTATCACCTCATATTATGGAACACAGTTCTCCACTTCTCATGCTCCTCGTGTTCCATAATAGTAACACAACCTAGCCTCTCTTTCAGCCCCTCACTAACTCCATGGCAGGAGCTATTCTTCTCTTTCTTGTTTTAAGTGTTAGGGGGTTAGCCCTAGCTGCTTTGGATAGAGCGTCAGCCTGCAGACTGAAGGGTCCTGGGTTCAGTAGCAGTCAAGGGCACATGTCCGGGGTTGTGGGCTCAATCTCCAGTAGGGGGCATGCAGGAGGCAGCTGATCAGTGATTCTCTCTCATCACTGATGTTTCTCTCTCTCTCCCTCTCCCTTCCTCTCTAAAATCAATTTAAAAATATATTTTTAAAAAGCTTTAGCCCGGTTGGCATGGCTCAGTGGTTGAGCATCTACCTATGAACCAGGAAGTCATGGTTCAATTCCCGGTCAGGGCACATGCCTGGGTTGCGGGCTCAATCCCCAGTGTGGGGCATAGAGGAGGCAGCTGATTGATGATTCTCTCTCATCATTGATGTTTCTATCTCTCTCTCCCTTTCCCTTCCTCTCTGAAATCAATAAAAATATATTTTAAAACGAAGTTTTAGAGGGTTAAACACTCATGGAGTGGGCTGTGGTGTCCAATTTGGTTAGTGAGTGGATAAGAAGTCATATTCAGGGCCCAAATGTTAACATGCCCACATTGGCCCTCAGAGCTAACATGACATTTTTCAAAGTACTCTACCAGTAAAAACCAATAATAAAGGTTAGATTCTGATCTCCATATGCTTGGCTTCTTTATTTCTCAACTAATTCTGAACTCAGGAAGGTAGAGAGTCATTATTTATTATCCTCAGAAAATACCAACTTAGATCCAAAAGAATATCCTGCAGAACTCCTCTGATGAAAAATAAAATTTTAAGTACAAAACAAAGACCTAAACTTAAGGAAAAAAATAAATGATATCAACTTTGAATACAAATGATATGATATCAAGTTTGGAAGTCATTAGAGGAAATACTTGAATGAGGAATATAGAAGGGCATGCTCAGAATGGCTGGGAACACATCACAGAGGTATCCATTCTCTCAAAACTGGTTATACCTTTCATTCTCTTCTGGAGTCAGAATGTCACTCTTAAAATCACTCATTCCACATCTGACTAAGAAGCTGAAGGCATGCTCCTCTTTTTCTTTCTTAATCTTTATTGTTGAAAGTATTACATATGTCCCTCGTCCCCTCGCCCCCCCCCCCGACTCCTCCAGCCCATCCCTGCCTCCGGCCCCAGGCCCTCACCACCCCACTGTCTGTGTACATGGGTGCTTTTTTTAATTTTTTTAAATAGTTTTATTATTTTTTAATTGATTTTAGAAAAAGAGGAAGGGAGAACAAGAGAGAAAAGCATCAATGTGAGAGAGAAACATCAAACAGTTGCACCAGTAAGCACCTCGACCTAGATCAAACCCAAAATCTGGGTATGTACCCTGACCTAGAATCAAACCCAAAACCCTTCAGTGCACAGGATGATGCTCTAACCAACAGAACCACACCAGCCAGGGCAAGGCATGCTCCTCTTTAAAGATGAGGGACTTCGAACAAGATGGCAGGGTAAGTAAACATGAAATGGATACTTCCCTCCTCCTAGCTACATCATAATTTAAACTATAGAAAACCACCATTCCATTCAGAATGCCTGAAATCTGGCTGGTTGGAAGCCCTACAACTAGGGAATTGAAGAAGAAGCCAAATTGAGACTGGTAGGAGGGGTAGAGACATGGAAGAGGCTGGTCCCACACCCACGTATGGCAGAGAAAAATCATGAGGGATATCTTGGCTGCAGAGATCCCCCCTGAATTCCCCGATGAGAAGTGATGGGTCCCAGCCCCACACCAGGACCTCAGCCCAGGGTACCAGTGCCAGGAAGAGAAGTTCCCATAACTTCTGGCTGTAAAAATCAGCCGAGGATCATGGCTGAATGACACGGAGGCTGCTGGAGTCCCAGACAGTTCCTTTTAAAGGGTTCACACGCAGACTTACTCAGACTCATTCCCTCTGAGCTCTAGTGCTGGGCAGCAAATTAAAGGGCAACAGAGGTAGATGGGGAGGCACTGAATTGTTTGTTGAGCAAGAGCTGAGGGTGAGGGCAGCTTTCTCCCAGACAGAAGTGCTGGCAAAAGCCATTGTTCCTTTGATGAGCCCTCCCCTTACAGAGCTGAAAGTCAGAGTCTCCATCAACCTGGCTAACACTGTTTTCCCCACCCTAGTGATTTCCTGAGGCTCTGCCCCACTCAACTTTCAGGCCCACCCAAGCTGTTTCCAGTGGCTTTTCCATACCAATAGCCTGTCTTGGCTAATGTTTCAGATTTTCCTAAAATCTCTCAAACAAGCAGCATCAGGCCTTGGTTCAGAGCCTGGCCTCTCCTGGGTATCTCCAAGCCCAGAACAAGTACCAGCCATCTGCTGACTACTTTGTAGCTAATGCTGGGTGGCCCTGAGCAGTGGCTGACCTTGAATTGCACCTCCCTGGAGATCCCGGAGCCAGTGCACCCAGTGAATAGTTTCAGACCATGATGAAGCATCACTATCCAACCACCTTCATTAGCCACACACATAAAAGCCAGACTCAGTGGGCAGCAGAACCCTTCTAAAGTAAGTCCTGCTCTGTGGGGTGGGCCACAGAACAACTGATCATCCATGGTGGTCAGAGGTTGATGGTTGGTGGTCACAGACAGTTTTTGCAGCTGATTGGCCTGGGGGTAAATCCCTCCCATTGACATGCCAACAGTAATCAAGGCTCAACTATAAGAGAAGGGTTACACAGCCCACCTGGGGGGCACACCTTGAGTGTCCAGCTTAGGAGATTGTGGAGGCTATGCCACTGGGCCATATGGGACACCTACTATATTAGGCCACTCTATCAAGCCTGGGAGATGTAGCAGCTCTACCTCATACACAGAAACAAACACAGAGAGACTGCCAAAATAAGGAAACAAAGAAATATGTCCGAAAAGAAACAAAACTTCAGAAAAAGAACTAAACAAAATGGAGACAAGTAATCTACTAGACGCAGAGTTCCAAACACTGGTTATAAGGGGACTCAAGGAACTTAGTGAGGACCTCAACAGCATAAAAAAGGACCAGTCAGAAATGAAGGATACACTAAATGAAATGAAGAATAATTTACAGGGAATCAACAGTAGAATGGATGAAGCTGAGAATCAAATCAACAATTTGGAATATAAGGAAGCAAAAACACTCAATCAAAACAGTAAAAAGAAAAAAGAATCCAAAAACATGAAAATAGTGTAAGGAGTCTCTGGGACAACTTCAAGTGTATTAACATTCACATCATGAGGATGCCAAAAGGGGAAGACAGAGCAAAAAATTGAAAGTCTATTTGAAAAAGTAATGACAAAATAATTTCCTTAATTTGGTGAAGGAAATAAACATACAAGTCCAGGAAGCACTAAAAATCCAAACAAAATGAACCCAAAGAGGCCCACATCAAGAAACATCATAATTTAAATGCAAAAGGTTAAAGATAAAAAGAGAATCTTAAAGGCAGCAAGAGAAAAGCAGCTAGTTACCTATAAGGGAGCTCCCATAGGACTGTCATCTGATTTCTCAACAGAAACTTTGCAGGCCAGAGGATTGGTAAGAAATATTCAAGGTGATGAAAAGTAAGGATCTACAACTGAGATTACTCTACCCAGCAAAACTATCATTTAGAATGGACGGACAGATAAAGAGAATCCCAGACAAGAAAAAGCTAAAGGAATTCATTGCCACCAAACCAGTATTACATGAAATGTTAAAGAATTTTCTTTAGGAAGAAAAATTAAAAAAAATAAAAAACATAAATAATAAATGGCAATAAAGATATATCTATCAACAATTAAATATTAAAGAAAAAAACAAAATAAATGAACAATCAGACCAGAAACAGATTCATAGATACAGAGAATATTTTGACAGTTGCCAGATGGGAGGGGT